ACATGCTGTGGAAGAGAGACAGAGATCAATAACAAGTGTGATTCAATGCAGAGAGGTCTGTTAGCACATAGTGAGTGAGAAAGGTTTATCCCTAAAAACATTTATTGTAATGCACTTTCACTACTGGGTTAAATTTGTGTCTGTTCCAAGAAGAAGAAAAAACAAGTGACCAGAAACTTAAAAAAATAAATAATAAAGATCACTATAATACGATTGCACCTCAAACTGACTTTGAAAAGAATTTCCTCCTGGATTTTCCGTTGTTCTCCAGCATTCAACTGTTATTACAGAGCAAAATCTTTTGTTGAAAAGAAAGAGATACAAGTTTCTCTATCAGCAGCGCTCCACGGGGGACGGAAAAGTCTGGGAAATATAGGAAATCACAAACTAAAGCCAGAATAGAGAAGCCAGGTCAGTGGAGCCAACAAAAAAGTAATCTAACAGCCAGCGGGGACACCCAGCAGCATGTTGGCATTTTTCTGTACTGCAGGGTTCCCCCTAATGCATTTCTACCAATATAATTATGATTGGCACGCAGTTATCTCTGCATGTTGAGCTGGATTTTGTGTCACAGTAAGTCACCAAAGGGCTTGTGGGAATCATGACAACTAGTCATGAAGCCATGTCCTCACCATGTCTCTGAATGTCAGCGAGGACAATGCCGATGTCTCAGTTGACCTGAAGCTAGAGATGGTGAAAGAGGGCTGCTGGAAAGAGAGGCTGTTCAAAAATGTACAGGCAATCACTCTGCAGCAGACATACTGAATGGTCCCACATGGTTACCACCCACAGTGTAATGAGGGTTAGCAGGTCAGGCTGCCTTTCTGTTGACTGAGGCTTGCAGCGACACAGGCTTCATTTTACATTTGGATGCCAGTGAACACCAGTGCATAAATCTCTTCTCCGGTGGCAGAGATGTTTTGAAAAGAGGCTATTATCATCTTTTGATCTAACCCTTCATAAGATGTGCTCTGATCTGCTGCTGTTGCTATTATACTGGAATGTATAAAATCAAAATAGTCGAGCCAGTCATTTCCCTATTTCCTCCTACTATACAAATACTTTTCCCCCCGTGCTCTCTCATAGACTCATGAAGTGTCACCAGTCAATTAAAAAAATGGGATCATATTCTACAACTCCTTGTTTCTTTCTGTTTTAGGAAAATATAAGGCAGATAATAGTACAGCAGACCTGCCTCCACCTTCTGGTCCTCATAAACATTTTTTTAAAGAAATGAAAAGTCAGCGTAGTGTGACATTTGATTTGGTTTTATTGTTAAGAAACTGTTCATAACAGGTGTAGTCACCACCATAAATACAGAAACCTTAAATAGAAAATTACTCCCTGCTTCTGGGGGCTGCAGCCATGTAGAACATTTACCAAATAGACTGCTGTGAGAGAGACGCTGTAAGGCTGAGATATGCCATTTAAAAGATCCTAAGGACAAATCTGTCCTCCCTGTTGGCTTTAAAAGAGACAAACTAGGAGACACTTGAGTCAAATGTGTTGCTGGATGGAAGAATGCAAAAGTCAGCTGTTAGGAGACATGCATCTTCACTCACTATCATAGTAAATATGTAGGTTCATTTATGCTGTCTTTCTTCTCCGTGTCAGAGCCTGGATTTGGATTTTGAATTTCTTCACCAACAGTCAGCAAAAATGCTTCTGCGACACTTACCAGAGTCTAAAAAGGTGTTCCAGAAGCCACCGGAGATGATCAGAGTACGAGGCATCAGGCATTTAAACCTGAGTCTTTACCAACAACAGACTGATTCTGGAAAAAGTTTGAATCAGCTTATGTCCTCTGCTTCTCAGTCGCCTGTTTTTGCTAAATAAAATAAACTCACTGGTCCCTGAAAATAACCATGTCTTAAGATTGCCAACATTTTCCACTACCAGAGATTTTTGCAGCTGTCTACCTGTATGACATTTTACCTAAAATGAGCATTTTTCAGACCTTCTTCATGCCTATTTTTAGATGCCAGCATTTCCAGAGAGATTTGCACTGCATTTTTATTAAAAAAAAACAAACAAAAAACACCCTGCAATAATACTTACACACACTAAGCTATTTAAACTTTTACCTATCTCCATGTGAATGTGACTCAAACACCAGAAATATCAGAGCATGTAATGTGTAAGTTTACAGGGTTTTTTGCCCCTACAACACTATACATAATGTGATAAGCATGATATTTGTTCACTGCTCTGGCGAGACGAACAGACGCTGTTGCTGATAATGCAGACACTCCTGACTGAGCCGTAAATACAGACGCAATGTGGTGACTGCAATTCAAAAAAGATTTTCAAATTCATTTTTGAGCACAGCCACCACTTTTAAAACAAATTTGATCAAATGTGACTGCTGATCGTGTACTTGTCTCTTTCCATTATCCAGATAGGAGCTTGGCCTTGTTAGCCTGAAAAAACTGCCAAGTAGCACGACTTGCTTCGTGAAAGACTTTTCTAAGGTCTGCTAATACTTGTCAACAATCCTTTTGGAACTCAGACAACATCAAAATAACTATTGTGCAACTGTAAATACCACTGCCCAAACACTCACAATTAGTGAAATAGGATCCTGCTTGTCATATTTACGCCAGGGTATTGTTTTATACCTCCTAATTCCTGTGGAAAGCAGTGTCATTCTGTCAACATATAACAGTGTAAACCTAATTGTCACTTCAGAACTAATACAGCATCCTTTTGGTATGACAGGATTCTGTAATCAGGATCAAGCAAGTTTATTGTGTGGGGATTTTACGCTTTCATTTGTTTGTTTACGGCACAAAATGAGATAGCTGGGTAATGCACGTCCACATTTAACAGTCTACCTTACTAATCTGGCTCAAAGAATTTCTCTATATACAGCATCCAATTGCAAAAAAGCACTATTTTGGTCACTTCTGTGGCTCATACTAAGGGCTGTAACTTCACCAAATATGCATTGTCAGTCTAATCCCTGGCCCAGGGCGTTATTTAGCACTGACATGTCTCAACTACTCAAGGAGAACGGATCCTTTGAGACTTCAGTAACTCTAAGACGGACTCACCTTGTGAAATTGCTCCCTGTATCATAGCTTCTGGCAGCAGAGGTGAGGTGTGGCATTGGTCTATTGTTCCCTGCACATTAGCACCGAGCACAAATCTCTAACTTGCAATAACATCTATCTGTATCAACGCCTTACAGGCCCTGTCACATGTCCCTGCAGAGAGAAAAGACCAAAGAATTGGAAGTGACACACGGGAACAAAACTGTCCTGCTTCAGAATAATCGGCTTTTCATAGTCAAGGAGGGCCTAAACTTTATTGTAGGGTTACTTCCACCACACGAGCACTTCATATGCGGATCATTCGCAGAGCGGATACGGAGTAGAACTTATCTTTTGATTGGCTACACCTGCGATGGACCTCTATAGTCGAAGTGAGACACAGAATGCACATAATTTCATTGATTATTATAAACGGCCAGTGTCTCAGGATGCTCTCTACAAATGGTCCACATGTAGTATGTTAGACATAGAGAAGATGTTAGGGGTACGTTCTGAAATCAAAACCCAAAAATAATATATGAGTAAGACTACAAATCTTCTCAGATGTAACACACTGAACCTTTTAAAACACACTGCAGTTGACATAGTTAAAGACATGTAACTGGTAGTTTAAATGAGAGTGAACTGTTTGTTTTCGTCTCACCAATTATACAGTGGGGTGTAGCAGTCTGCTGTGTGCACTGAAGCTACACCAGCTTTGGCTGTGATTTGTCTCTGTTTTACACATTGGTCTAATGTAAAAGCAACCTAATCAAAGCAGCCAGCGTTGCTAAATGCACTGAGTTGATGGATCTCAAATGGCTTAAGTCATTGAAATATTATAAATCTCCAGCTATCAACTAAACTTAATAAGCCATGTGAAATGCCTGTATTTACTTAACCAAGAGCTACGCATAATATACACTGTAAATATAATTTTCCTGTGAAATTCTATTAGTTACCATGATGCCACCACATTTTTCGAAGTTGGATAATGCAGATAATGTTCAAATTTGATAATGTTTTTTCCTCTCGAGCTACAGTGCTGCTGAACAAAATGGTGAAGTAGTCATGCTTGATAGCAAACGCTGCACAGCAGGGCAGGTGTAACATCTATTGAGACAGCGCTTGTCAGTTTATCTAACAGCATCTGAAATCCTCTGACGGCAGACTCAAGGATGTGCAGCAGCTGATAATTTATGTAGCGTTTTCCACAAAAAGAAGAAAAAAACTGCAAGCTGACACTCATCAGTCCAAGTTTTACACAGTCCCGGTCAAGATCATTTTAGCTGGATTTACTAGTAGTGGAGCTAAAATGTAAGGTCGCCACTCTCACGAATACCAACTGCAGGAAAGTGCATTTAAATTTAAAACCTGGTGTTGAAAAAGCCTAAAGTGATAAGAGTTGGCTGGTGATAATTTGGCTGCTGTATCTCATTCAATGCAGAGTTATTTCAGCAATGAATTCTGTTACTTTGTTTCTGCTTTACTTAACTATTTGCCATATGAAACATTGCCTTCATAAAGTGCTGGTGAAATGTTTTCCAAGTCACAAACTGATACATCAAGACGGCTGCACAATTATTTCCCCTCGATAGTCTTTCATTTCTGCACACCAAAGCTGCCAACAGCACACGATAATAGTCTCTTCCATATCTCCTCGAGCAGTAGCCACACTCCCCTCTGAGTCGAACGTCCAGTGTGTGCAGTGCAAAGTGTATTTTTGTGTGTGAATGCAAGCCCGTGTTTATCTCTGCACTGCCTTTGGTTCCCTTTGATTTCCCTTAAGTCTTATGTCTTTTGTCATGTTCTGGTCTTCTGAATGCTTGCTTATGGGTGTCATTTGTTTTCTCCCCCTGCCCTGCTCCCTCCCTGCCTCCCCCACCCCAATTCTTCTTTATTTGCATGCTGTTCCTCCTGTTCCACACCTCCCTCCACAACTGCCATGTCCTCTCCTTGTGTGCTCAGACACTGCGCCCAGCACTGAACCTGCAGCTCATGGTTGGTATCTCTACTTTCCTCCTTATGTCTCTCTTGCTCTCTCTTTTTTTTTTAACTTGTATATTTGTCTTTGCAGCATGCCTGCTTTTACTGTTACACAACAGACATTATTGTGCCAGGCTGCCCAGCCTGGAAATGTCAGCTTTGTGCTGTGTGTCAGGTTTATGTTGGCCATACTGAAGCAGGTACCAGTCAGGCTGCATTTTACTTTAATTGCAGTTATGCTGTCAAATATATATATAAAACCCTTCTAATTCTTCTTACTTCAGCTGCACTTGCAAAATGGTTTCACCAACTAACCAATTACAGTGTTTCCCTGAAGGTGCCACAGAGGAATATCACCCACACTGAGGCCAGGGCTGATTATATCTGCAACATTAGATGATGCTGTGTGTTGGGGCAAAAATAGACCTAATTTAGTTGTTTTCATTTACTTGAATGAAGATGATACACATCATTTTCCAATTTCACCTAATTTGCAGCCTTTTTTCATAATTTCGTGCCTCCAGTTTCATAATTTGTGGGACCAAATTCATGAAGGCGTTATCACGAGCTTTCTGTTAAGCATGTGTTCGTTTTGCAGAAATTTGAATCGCACTTCACAGACTTCTAATGACCATCTTAGAGGGCTGAAGAACAAAAAAAAGAGCAGCAGGCCTCTGCTGACCTGTTTATGGTAATTAATTTTGTTGAATAATTTTATGATGGTTTCAGTCAAACTGAAAATGAGTCAATAAGACAAACAGCTGTTAAAATGTTGTCAAACCAACATTTCTTTTCTGTTTTCAACAGCATATTTGTATGAAACACATACAGTACTGTGCAAAAGTCTTGACTCACTGCTTATTTCTTTACACAAGCATGAAAGTCAATATTTGGTATGACCACCAGGAATAGTTTTCCAGTCTTCTTTGTTTGGGATCATTGTCCGGCAGAAAAAAGACGTGGCTCCCGCTGAGACACTTTCCAGATGGTGTTGCACAGTGTATCAAAATCTGACGGTACTTTTATGCATTCACAATTCCATCCGTTTTGACAAGATCTCCTCCACCAGACTATGACAGAGCCTCCAGCGTGTTTCCCAGATGGCTGTAGACACTCACAGCCACAGTTTGAACCAGAAATTTCCAATTTGGGTTCATCACTCCAATGCCACTGATTTTCACTCCATGTCTTCTGTAAACTGGCATCCCTCAGCCTTTTCTGCCTGTTTTTTTTTTTTCCTAAGAATGGCTTCTTGACAGGCTCCCTTCCACTGAGACATTTTCTGATGGCTTCAGTGAAACGGAGATGGATCAGCTGAAGAGCCAGATGCATCTCTTACATCCTGTGTCAGGTCTTTCTTTGATGTATTCCCTATTTTTAACGGGAATAACTTTCAGATGCTGTTTGTCTGCAGTAGATAGCTTGCCAAGTTTCCTCAGATTTTGTTTAACAACACACTGCACGCCATGCTGGGATTATGACAATATTTCAGCTAATATTTATTTGGGAATCAACTTGTTGGTGCTGATTTATGCCTGCCAAACTCTGTTGTCTTTGGCCTTTTGCATAGATTCTACAAAAGAATGCAAACAAATTAATGCTATCAGCGTTAATCTTGCTAAAATGACGTTAACCGCATTAAGGCAGCAAATTTTGTTAGCGAGTTAGTGCAGATCGCCCCGTGTGTGGGGATGCACGGCCCTAACGCTTTAACGAGCTAACCGCGCTGACACTGTGCAGTCCCACGCACGGGGCGATCCGCGATAACTCGCTAACGGAGATTTAATGCGGTTATGGCGTTAATGTCATTTTAACAAGATTAGCGCTGACAGCGCTAGAAAAAATGTGTTTTTGTTATTTTAGGCTCAAAGTGCAGCACGGTGGCACGGTGGTTAGCACTGTTGCCTCACAGCAAGAAGGTCCTGAGTTCAATTCCATCATCAGGCCGGGGTCTTTCTGTGTGGAGTTTGCATGTTCTCCCCGTGTTTGCGTGGGTTCTCTCCGGGTACTCCGGCTTCCTCCCACCTTCCAAAGACATGCAGCTTGTGGGGATAGGTTAATTGGATAATCCAAATTGCCACTAGGTGTGAATGTGAGTGTGAATGGTTGTCTGTCCCTATGTGTTAGCCCTGCGACAGACTGGCGACCTGTCCAGGGTGTACCCCGCCTTTCGCCCTATGACAGCTGGGATTGGCTCCAGCGCCCCCCGCGACCCTGAAAAGGATAAGCGGAAGCAAATGGATGGATGGATGGATGGATAGGCTCAAAGTTTGAAATTGCTTAAAGAGACAAGTTAAACTGGCTCTTTGCTGAGTTATCTGTTGTGTTTAAAGACTAAACAAGTTAATTCCTTGAGTGTGGTGCTATTCTTCTGCATGAATGATTATGTTAAATGCCTTAAAAAACAAGAACAACATTCCTGTTAAAATGCCTTGTTACAAGGACTGGACTGAAAAGTGAAGAAGCAGCCAATGTTCAATGAAAGACCTCCAGAAGCTTGGAGATTAAACACGCAAGACCATTTCTAAACAATGACAAGAAAGTCTGTTTCCTTATATGATGGAATGAATTGTGGTTCAAGAGTTTTTCACTGTAAGAAGTGTTAAGTTGAATCAGTGCAGCGGTATCAGTATGAATATTATAGTAACTGTATTCAAATTAAGAAGGGGATTTCCTACATACAGGCAGCCATATTAGATGAGGCATTCAAAGATCCGTTCTTGCCTGTAGTGGTCGATAATCCAGCAGCTGTCAGACAGGAGGTTTTCAGGAAAATATTGATTTAATTTTCATGAGTGTTGGGTCAGGGGTCAAAAGGTCAGAACTCTGTGTTGAACTAATCCAAACTTTATATCCCAAAGGGAGTTATGACCAGATTTCCTGTATTGGTTTGTGCCAAGTAACAACCTACAACATACAGGGAAAAAAAAAGGAATTTCACCTTTAGCTGTAATTCTAAACGTTTCTGGGAGAACTTGATGAATTTAATTACTATCGTTTGTTATTTTGATGTATTGCACACCCCAAAGGAAGCAGAGGCTAATCTATATCAGAGCTGGTGCTCTTTTATGTTTCAGTTATGGATTTAATTAGTGAAAAGTAGGCCGACTGTCGGATTTCGCCACATCTGAATGCATAGTCATTGACATCAAGGTCTATAATTGCTTAACATTCTGCATTAATCGCGATATCTCACATATTTTTGTAAAATGTTGTCTAATGTGACCATGATGTAGTCAGATTTTTCCAGGTGGGATTGGGGGAAGATGAAGAGCCTCCCGACTCGTTGGTGTCCTCTCTCAGCAGCAGTGAGGTCTGCTTCCTCTATATGATGCTGAACACTTGTGTTGAAGAGACCACAGATGCTTTGTCCTCCTTTTTCAAAGATGTGTTTTTAACATTTATGAGTTTTTGAATGGTTGCCCCAGATGTTCATCCGAGACCGCAGTCAGTTTTTAGATGTTTGCAATTAACTGCAGTAGTGCATCATTAATATAAGATTTGTTTACTGGTAGTTTTACATTAAGCATTAAAAATCACTTCAGCAGCTTCAATTTAGTCATTTTTCTGATTTAAAATAAATGAACAGAGGAGTCTAAAATTATCAATGTGTATGAATTTTAAGTTTAAGCAGAGGTCAAAAGTTTCCTCCAATATTTATTCCTTCTCACAAGCCTGAAATAAAAGAAACCACCCTGTAAATGATCTGCATGGATTCCTGCCTAACCTCGAAAATCTTTTTTTTAATGTAAGTTAAGTTTTTAAGTATATTTGTCAGCAAGTGAAATATATGTATATATATAAATGTACCAAGGAGATGCCACCACTGCTGTTGCATGCAAAGGCGAGAGGACTGAGTGGGCTGAGGTCTCTGTCCAGACAAGTGAAGTCCTAGAAACAGCTCTCAAACTCAGGGTCATGGGGAGGGTGAGAGGGATAAACAACAGTTTATGCTCACATTTACACCTAAGGCCACTTTAGAAACACCAGTGATCCCTAACATGTACTGTATGTATGTGGACAGTGGGATAAACCCACTCAGAGAGAACCCACACAGGCACAAGGAGAACATGCTAACTAACCTAGCCCAAGCTGTGAAACCACCACTGTGCCACCCCTAAAGTTTAATCACTTGTTTCTAAATCAGATTTCACTGCTGATTCTCTAGTTTTTATGTCCAGGCGACCGTTAAAATTAAACTTTATTTAGGTAATGCTTCAAAATAATTGCCCAAAAACATGGCAGGGGCCATTTCAAGATGGCAGCCAAGTGGCGAGGCACGCTTTACGCCTTCGGCTGATCCAGCATGCCACAAGAGTGCTAACGGGCACTAGACAGAACGATCATATTTCACCCATATTGGCTTTTTGTCAAATGTAGAATTGAATTTAAAATCATTCTTCTCACATAAAGGTCTGGAATGAGCAAAAAACCCAGCTATTATTGGACCAGAGAAATTCACTCGCAGACTGCAGGTTCTCAGAGTTTCCAAAGACAGAACAGAAGGCTTCTTCACTGTGGAACCGGCTCCCAGTTTAGGAGAAAGATACCCTCTGTAGTTCTAAGATTAGGTTTAAAAATTTCCTTTTTGATAAAGCTTACATTTAGAGCTAGATATGAGCATTTGTTCTTCACTCCCTCCTCTTCCTGTTAAAACAGGGTTCTTCTTTCCCCCAGTCACCAAGTGCTGCTTGAAGGAGATTATCTGATTGTCAAAGTTCTCAAGGGTTATCTTTCCTAAAGTGACTTTAGGCATTTGAAGGCATCTGAATTGGCACTGTATAAATAAACTGTTTAAAATTTAATTGAACCGACTCTGTATTTTTATGCCTTGAAGATATCTCAGGGGCTCTCCATTTAAAATCGGAAGCCCGGTATGTACTAGTAGCATTCATATTGCATGACAAAAGTTTTCTGTTGCTGCTGCTGAGCATTACTTCTGTATCTCCCAAAGAACTTTAAGCTTACCATCGATTCTGCTGTGCGGTGCTTACAGCACCTGAAAATGCTCCCCT